ATGAGTACATGCTTGGATATCAACCATTCTTGATGAATTGAGGTGAGAATGATAATTGTGGCCATTAAAACACAAAACCTTGAGACTTAGCCAATATTTTGAGAAATTGATAATAAATCTTAAATTTTGAAGTGTATATTGAGATTTGAGTGTATGTTTGAGTATGTGAATGAGAATTATGAGTTAAGATAGTCATTTTGAAGTATAACTTAAACAACATATGATTTTGGGGTATTAAAGTTTGGATTGTTGGAAGCTAGAATGCAAAAATGGTGCAATCTGGGCAAAATGTATCGATACATTAGCAAATGTATCGATACATTAGCAAATGTATCGATACATTCTTGGCAAGAAGAACAATATAAGGTATTTTGAAGATTTTGTATTGATATGTATCAATAGATTTGAGTAAGGATAAACATCTATCAATACATTATCCAAATGTATCGATAGATTTGAAGCAGAGAGTAAATTGAATAACATGTATCATGGCCTTTATGTATAAACACATTTAGAGGGAATTTGTTAAGAATTTATTGATACATCCTTGTGTGAAGGAAAAAATAAAAAGGGGTTACGGGCATTTCACCCTTTAAAGAGAAAACCCATTTTCTCTCTTTCTCTCTCTACCTCATACGAAACCTTAAGCCCCTAAATGGCATTTGGAGCTTGTTTGAGCTAAATCTAAGCTTGGAAAATGCTTCTAGAGGCAAGATTCAACATTTTTTACGTATTGATTTTCAATTTAATCGATTAATAACTTAGATTCGATTTGGTCCAACTTTGATGAGATTTTTCTCTCTTGAGTTTGCTAAGGATTTGGAGCTAAGAATAGGGCAACCCAACCAACAAGGTAAGGATTTAGCTCATCATTAAAGGATTTGCGCTCATTTATGGAATTTGGTTATTTTTGAAAAAATAGGATATTTTTGAAAATTAGGAAATAAATATTTTTATGATGTTTTGGTGTGTTTAAGGGAAAGTTGAAGCCCCCAAACACATAGGTGAGCTATAGGACAACTAGAGGCTAAGGATTAGAGCTTAACTATAGAAGCATCTCCGATTGTCGAGGTGAGTGGGATTTAATTAAATGCATGTGGGCATTGTGTTGGAATCCATGGTATATAAGACTTAAAGTAAGAGGCCTATAAATAGTGCGATATGAATTATGGATTAAGGATTGTGCCAAATTATGATGAATGGGCTACCAAATAAGTATATGGCCCAATATGTATTTGGGTTAATGGCACAATGATTGGTGATATTAATTATGTGAGGTCGAAAGGCCATGATTACTGATGAATATGATTTATGCATGAATGCCCATGAATTTGTGGTTGATTTGAGGATATGCATGAGGCTGTTAAGCCATGATTGATGCAATTAAATATGATGAATGCCCATGTGGGGTTAAGGGCATGAAGGCCTATAGATTGATTTTATGTTATTTGATGATGCCTTAAAGATTTGAAGGCACTTAGAATTATACCGAGCCTAGAGATTACTGAAGCTTGTTGAATTTGAATATGATTTGATATGGACATATGGAATGTCATAGGCACAATGGCCTAATTTGTGGATATGCATTTCATCCGAAGGATAAATTCCGAACGTTGATTTTACTTCAGTATGAGTGAAGTCCCATGCCTTATGAGTTTGTGTGCTTGTAGGGATGGTGGTAAGTAGGGACAGTGGCATTAATCCCATTTGTGATTTTTGCTTGTAGTGCTTTGATGCCATCCGTTGAGATTATTTCAAGTGATGCCGACCGTCCGGAGATTACTCTGGTCGATGATATGATTCTCCACTAGTTGCTCTGGCACTGTGCGTGGTTTGTTCGGCAAGCACATGATTTGATTCTCCATCAACAGTTTTGCCTTGAGCGTGATTTGATTAGGGTTTCACACTAATGCATAATTCACTAAGATTCTTTTCCTCACCAAATTTCCATAATATAAAAAATTAAGGTTTCAGACCTAGCTTTAGGAATTTATTATTTCCAGCTCATTTTTGAGCAAAGGATTTTAAAGGTTTTGCTTTTCAATGAGGTTGTGAATGTAAGGAAAGTTAAAGTTGTTCATTTTATGGGTTGGGTTTAAAGTTTGGAAATTTATTGGAACTTAAAGGGAGATTATTTGACAAATCCAGTAATTTCAAAAAAAGGGTTTTTGCTAGAAAGTAAAAACTTATGATAGGATTTATTTTGCTAGGTGATTGTTAGAATTAGAGATCATTAACAAGCAAGATTTTAGTGACTCGAAGCTTAGGAAAGGAATATGCTTCTTGTCAAGATGAGTGGGTATACTTATTTAAGTATTTTATATGGTAAAATAGAGCATGATTTATCGATTTGGATAACTTGCATGTTTTGAATGCTATCGTGGTTTCAATAAATTGTATGGTACGAGAATAAATGTTTTCAATGAGATTTTTCAATCTATTATGTATACCTCTATTATGTATTAGTTTTCAACAATTTTGTATGAATGTTTTATAATGATGTAACAATGTTTTTATGTACGTGAATATTATTATATGTATGGATTTTGTATGAATGCGGTGGATGTCAAGTGCATGCATGTTGATAAGGCTTACTTGGGCCTAGTAAACTATACTCACATAAGTTTATGCGTAGGTCATGATCTTTTTAAAAAAATGAGATGTGACATAAATAAACAAAGAAGAAATTTTTGAAAGAGAAAGCTTAAGACAAAAGATGAAAACCATTTTTTTTATCGTACAATGGCAAAACTAACCTTAGCATAAAGAACAAAATAAAAATAAGAAGTCTAAAATGGGATGAGCTTTTTTCGTAAAATGCCTAATACACAAATAACATTGAAAATGGTAAATCATCCAAATAGACATATTTATCTCTTAGATTTATTGAAAATCCCAACATATCCTTACCACCTACAATAACATAAACCAAATTTCTATGAGACTTCCTCATAAATTCGTGTAATATCAATTAAAATGTGTCAAGCAATTACCCTATTTAGTGACAAATTTAAAATACTTATAGATTATAGATATTAGGATATATTGCAGTTGAATCTTTCAAAAATAGTTTCACCTTAAATACGATCCTTATTCAACTAGAGGATGTGCCACTACTCATTATTGGAAGAAAACCATGAGTTGGTAACATGGTCTTCCTTTGAATATGCTTCATTTTAATAAACTAGCTTTTAGTATGTAACTCATTTCATATTGGTATAATATTCAAAAAGTTATTAAACTATTTAGAAAAATTCAAATAAGTATTTATATTTTTATTATTTTTAATCAATCTCTTATACTTTTATTTTAAGTTAAATAAATTATTATATTTTTATTTTGTATCAAATAAGCCCTTATGATTAATTATTAATTTAGTCAAAATATAATTTATTATTATATGCCATGTGATGTTAACATGACATGTTAATATATTAAAATTGATAATAATGTGATATGTTGATATATCATAATTGATGATAACATGATATGCTAATTATATATTTGATAAGATAACACAACCACGTGATAAATTTTCACCTTTCAAATCAACACCTTTTCAATATCATGTTGATATAAAATGACAAATAATATTTTGATCAATGAAATTAGCTAATAATTAATTATAAAAATTTATTTGATGTAATAAAAAATAAAAATTTATTAAAATTTTTTAAATAATTTAATAATTTATTTGAGTATTAGGTCTTTCATATTTAATAAATGTTACCTTACCTATAACTTTAAAAAGAATTTTTTAATATAACAATTTTACAGCAATTTGGCCAACTTTGCATAGACCACGTCCAAGATGATAAGGTTCTGAATTAACTTTTGCCTAAGCAGCTAGCTAGTTGAAGCCTAGAAGTGAAATTGGCAATTGATTGCTCTCCCTCCTTTCTCGTTGACTGTTACGAATATTTTGAATTAATTTTTGTTCACATGCTTGGATTTTAATTTATTTTCTAATCATGAACCTAAAAATTTAAAATCCAAAATCCTAAAATAAATTTTCTAATTTAGAATACACTCTTACAATTTTGATTCCTTTTTTTATTATTATTTCTATGAAATCATTTGCATCTTTTATGTAACCTTAGGTTATAAGAAGAACCAACATCGTTTCAAAAATGATTTTTGTTTGGACACCTCATTTAGATAGTAAAACTACAACCCGTCACAAGTTTGAGTAATAATCTTAAAATACCCATTACTCGAACTTAATTATAAATAATAATTTTTAATATTAAATTTTAATTATATATATTATAATTTGTTTATAAATTTTTTATAATTAGTGTCATACTTACTAAATTTCATTAATTATTATAAATATGATTTTAAATTTTAATTTATGTTTTATTAATGAAGTTATATTTATTAATTTAATTTTTATTAATACTATAAATAAAAAATTGATTTTAATTATATATTTAATGAATACAAATATTTAACAAGTAATATTTAAGATATTCTGAGTGCTAGTTTAGATAATAATTTCAAAATTTAATTGAATATTTATAAAATTCAGATATCCTACCAAATAGGCGAGTCCGATTTAGAAACAGGTACCACACATTTGTTTTCCAAATTTGAATCGGGCCCAAAACTTTAACAAGAAAAGCCCAGGACCCGAAGAGCACAACATCCCACTTCCATGAGCGGTTGAAGTAAAACTAGAATCAAAAAGCAAGAACTTAGAACAAAACAACGTTCCCTGGAGGGAGTGCCGCTAAATTGTTTTATTCCCACATGTAGACGGTTCTTGGCTCCAGCTCCTCTCCCAGCAGCTTCCCCAACTCGTTCCTAAAATTTGACCCTTCGCTCTTTCTAGGCATTGGCCTCGTACACGCTAGCTTACTAACAACCGCCCCTGGGGGACCTCTCCATCTCTTGAACTGTTTCTTTCTTCTATTTGTTTTTCTTTTCTTTTTAAAACTTTGAAAAGAAAGAAAAAGAAAATACTGTTAGATCGAGGTTTCGGATTCCTTCGTTAGATAATGGCGTTAAGGTTTCACGCCAGAGATGTTTCCGGTTTCAAATTCTTGTTTTCCTTGGCGATCATGTATGGTCTCATGTCGCTCCTGGTTCACTCCGTGCTTTACATGAAGTTCATCCAGCCGTTGGGAATCGACGCGCCTCTCGATCGCTTCTCCGAGGCCAGAGCAATCGAGCATGTTCGAGTATTGTCGCATGAAATCGACGGTCGACAAGTGCGTCAAAATATCTTTAGTTTGTTTTTCTCTTTATTTAATTCTTTATGCGGATGAAGATTTCAATGACTTCTTCTACTTTATCTTTGTTTGTCTACACTAGTTTTGAGTTATCGGTTTTATTTTTTTAATTAAATCTTTTAAAATTCAAATTGGATTGGTTGAAGGTTACTTGAAATGAAGATGAACTCAGGGGAAAAAAATGGAATAGGAATTGCTAACGATTTTTTATTGCTGTATTGAGTGATATCGAGGAAGTCAATATTTATTTATGTGCTTGTTTCCTTTTCCAAAAGGAAGGGCGTCCGGGTTTGAGAGAAGCAGCTCGGTATATTAAGGCACAGTTGGAAACGCTGAAGGAGAGAGCTGGATCTAATATTAGGTTGGTAAACATTTGTTTTAAGGCTGAATTGCTTGATTTTCAAATGGATTTTGTATTTCCCATTCACTATTTAAAGTTGCTCACTTAACTTGATTTAATTCATTAATTGGCAGAATTGTGGTCGAAGAGAATGTTGTTGGTGGATCATTCAATATGATGTTTTTAGGCCACAGCATATCATTGGGTTACAGGAATCATACCAATATTGTAATGAGGTAAATTTCTAATACTGACTGCGATTCTCTGGATTGGATTTAGATAGTAGTACTATGCCAATCATTCAAGGAAGGATTTGGAAGTTTCCTTTCCTTCCTTTTGCCTCTATCAGTTATTATTTGGGCATCCCCTTTGCGTGCAAGTGGGGACCATTTTTAATCATGGGGGCCACTTAAATTTTACAGCAGGCCATTCGTGTTAATACATTTGAAATGTAATGAAAGAAATAATAGTTGGGAAACTTCATATCATTTACGGTGATACTGATTCTTTTATACTGCATCAGCAAGCCATAGTTACACTTGCATCTTCTGTTTCATTTAAGGTGTTAAAGTAGCGTGTGAAATTTTTTTATTTTGATTTTGATCATGGATAAGAAAATTAAACAACACATCGGAAAGGTCTAAAGTGTTTCACTCACAAAAATGAAGGGAAAAGAGTTATTGATATCATTGTTTCAGGCATTGTAAAAGTAGTGAGTAAATAGTGGCTTATCTTAATCATAAAATCAATGTCAGAGGATTGATTAAGTTTTAGATTTCCAAATCTATGTATGTTTTGCACTTTAAGAGGCAATTAACCATCACTTGCATCTTTGGAGTTGGAGATGGTAAAGCACTCTGTTTTACTTGCAACTTTTTGGCAAATGCCATTATCTTCTTTCTTTTATATAATGACAGGCTATCTTCAATAGATTCACAAGACACCGATTCATCAGTTTTATTGAATGCTCATTTTGATAGTCCACTTGGTTCCCCTGGTGCTGGTGATTGTGGTTCATGTGTTGGTAGGAACATTGAATATGTTTAGCTTGATTGCTGAAATTTCACTTTCTATTTTAGTAAAAACATGTTCACGATGCTTTATGTTTTTGCAGCATCATTGCTGGAAATTGCGAGACTAACCATAGACTCTGGCTGGGTCCCACCTAGGCCTATTATTTTACTATTTAATGGTGCAGAAGAAGTTTTTCTGTTGGTAAGAAATATTTGATCTTTTTAAAAATAGACTGTTATTTCAATTGAGACTACTATAGTTTTATGAAATTCTTTAATTTGTCATGAGTGATAAATCACAAAACTTTTAGAGATAATGCCTGAATTTGTGGTAGTAGACATATATTTTGGGACATACCAAAGAAGAAACTTAGTTAATTCTTTTGAGAGAATGGGAAATGGTTGACAAAGCTTTAAACATCTTACTAGGAAGAATAGCAAGGAGGGCATGTCTTGGAGGAAAGGAAATGTAAACCAAACTGACAAAATCAAGCCTCAAAATTTTTCTGGCTGACATTATCTTGTTAACTTTGTCTGAAGATCCAAATCTTGTTGAGCATCCTATTCATATAGATTTATGAAATGTTTTTTGCTTCTGATATATTAGGGTGCACATGGCTTCATGAGGACGCATAAATGGCGTGATTCCATAGGAGCTGTTATAAATGTGGAAGCATCTGGAACAGGAGGTCCTGGTAGGATATAAATCAATGCTAATGTTTTTTTTTTCTCCCAAGTGCTAAAATAATAGCTCATAGCTAGTTATGATGCCATTGACTAGGAATAAAGCTCCCTTTGTTTCCATGAAGTAATTAAGAATTGCTTGTGATAAATAAAGTGATAACTTATTTCATACACATATCTGCTTATAACATAGAATATTCTGTTAGAACATGGTCGTCATAATTTCTTAAAGTGATTAATTGAGATAAATATAAAAAATTTCTACCTTACATGGTGAAGTTCTATTTTCTATTTTCAATGCCTAAGTTACATGTTTGTGGACATTACAGATCTGGTATGCCAATCTGGACCTGGTTCTTGGCCTTCTTTTGTCTATGCTCAATCGGCGATATATCCCATGGCACATAGTGGAGCTCAGGTTTTACTTTATCCTTTTCTAGTTTAGTTTCGATGATATGGGTGAGCATTCATTTTCTAGGATTAATTCTATTGCTCTCATTTATAGTTTAAATATATTTCCTTGTGAAGGTTATCATGGTGTAATTTATGTCGGCTGACCCTGAAATTATGTATACTTGGTTCCTATCCGTTAAGCCCGATTTTTTTATTTCATCTGCTTAGGTTGATGTTGTAACTGAGTCAATCATGGTTTATTTATTATCTTTGCAGGATGTTTTCCCTGTTATTCCTGGAGATACAGATTACAGGATGTTTTCCCAAGATTATGGCAACATTCCTGGCCTGGATATCATCTTTCTTCTTGGTGGTTATTATTACCATACCTCATATGATACGGTGGACAGACTATTGTATGCATTACAACTGCTCCTGTGGTAGAGGATAACTTTAGTGGAAATTTAAGCATTTTGGTTATTGGGCACTTCCACTCATATATGTGCCTGTTTTCAATACAGACCTGGTAGCATGCAAGCACGTGGAGACAATTTGTATAGTGCAGTGAAGGCCTTTGCAGAGTCTCCTAAGCTTAAAAATGCTCTTGAAAGAGAATCCTTTGGTATTAGTGATGACTACAATGATGAACGGGCGGTTTTCTTTGATTACTTAACTTGGTTCATGGTATGTTTTGTATGTGTATAATATGCACTTTTCTCTAGAGTTATTTATTCTTGGATGATAATTATTTAATGATCATAAGTGTTTTACTCTGATTATGAATGTTTCAGATATTCTACTCAAGAAGGGTAGCTGTGGTACTTCATAGCATCCCCATTGCCATTTTCCTAATAATGCCTTTCTTTTTACGTTTGAATTGTGGGTTATGTTGTTGTTTTTCAACCTTCTATGATTTTGTAAAAGGTAAAATGACTGCATATAATTAATTTATTTCCAATTGTTCATTTGACAGTCCTTACCCGTTATACATTCCATTGTTATAATTAATTACTTAAGTGAGATATTACTATAATTAATTAATAATTTCCTTTAACAAGTTCTGCTTCTCTGATTCTAGTTACTTCTTGGTAATTCTCTTCTAGCCGTTGAGGAATGCAATAATGTTTTCAAATTTGTTGATTTTGCAGGAATGATCCTCCATGCTACCGGAATGATGCTGGCTATTATTTTTCCAGTGTTATTTTCCATCCTGAGATTGCTATTTTCCAGTTATGCAATGAACTGGTTGGTTGTATATCTTAAGCTGAAGATGAACATGCAATATTTTCTCCTAGTATTAATTAGATGATCAAATGTTTGAAAGATTTGCTTGATATGCAGGTATGCAAATCCCTACTTGGCTTTCATGATGTTCATTCCCATCTCACTTATTGGTCTGTTGATCCCTAGAATAGTTTGTCACCTTTTCCCCCTCTCTCAAGATGCTTCAGTTCTCAAGACATCAAAGGAGGTAAACTTTGTGGATTCAAATTTTCTTGTAAGAAATTGACTGAGAGCTAGCCTATTGCATGGTGTTCTTCTGCACAGATTGTTCCTGTGTGGTTTTGTCATCTAGGAGCTTATACTGTGATTCCCGTAAAGTTTCCTAAGTTTCAGTCAAGTTTTGCAACTGATCTCACTTAACCATGCCTGATGCATAAAACCTGGTATACTGAACATATAATTTTAAGTGTACCTGCAAGACTCATGATAATGCACTGACTTATGCCCACCTATGAATAAATTTTACAGTCACCAGCTGAGCTATGTTGCATGTGACAGTTTTAGATGTGTTTGGGTAAAATTGTTTATATGTATATATATGCATGGCATGTGGTTAGTGAAGAGGTATATGACTAAATGAATCTTACAGATGCTATCTGATGAGGCAAGATTCTGGGGTGCGTTTGGATTTTATGCTTCATTAACTTTGGTACGTTGTGTGATTACTGTCATTTGCTAGTCATGGGTTTTCATTGCATGGATTTCATCAAATTCTATAAACTGTAAACTTTGAAATGCAGGCTTATCTTGTAGCTGGGTTAAGTGGGGGTTTCTTGACCTTCTGCACATCTGCTTCTATGCTTCTTGCATGGATCTCCTTTTACCTATCAATCATGTTTTATGGTCATCAGTCAGTCAGGTATTCTTTTTAATGAATTTGCAATTGCCTATCCAATTCATGAAGTACGGGCATGTGGTTGTTTCCATTGTTCATACACCGAGCATTTATTTGATGGAGCGTATTGTTAGTTATCTATGTCTTATTAACAGAAAGTTTTTGTGATTCCATTTCTTTTCTCCTTGATTGGATAACCAACACCAAGGAAATTGATATCCTGTGATTGCTATAGAGCTTCTGAATTCGAGGTTTGGTACATTGTTTGTTGTCTATATTTATTCCTGAAAGTTCTTATGTTTGGAAGTAAATGTCCTCTAGCATTCTTGTACTTCTTCCTCTAGTCATAAATTTCTAAATTGTACTGCAAAACAGTATTAAAATATTATTAAAAACAGAATATAGTCTGATTAAAGTTGTTTCTTTCAGGTCAACAGTTTTTTATGTGATACCTCTAATTCCATGCCTTACATACTCTGTTTATTTTGGTGGGTTTCTTCTTCAATTTTTGATTGAGAAGATGGGCATGATGGGTGCTGTTCCACCCCCGTATGGTTAGTTTTTCTGGACTTATATTTTGTTGCTAATTTTGGTTCGATAAGATTTGTTTGGATCTGGCTAAAAGATTTACTTTAATAAATATTTTACTGAATTAATATGGGAATTTTCCTTCATAAAGACAAGGTTGACTGGCTGCTTTTGTCCAGGTAGCTATGCATTAAATTTTCAGTATATATTACATTATCTTTTTTATCTCTTCATTTTTTCCTGTGACAAATCGATAGTTAAACATTTGGTTATGCTGTATACGAGTTTTACTGTAACGATATTCATAAATCCCAAAGGCAAAATCCAATGATCTTTCGATTTTTGCCTTCAGGGTATTACATTCCTGATATTGTGGTGGCATCAGCAGTTGGTGTTGTTACTGGTTGGTGTGTGGGCCCGCTACTACCTATTTGCAGTGAATGGTTAGCCAGGTCATCCATCTTGCAATTCTTTCTCCATCTTAGTGTGATTGCTTTGGCTCTATCTTCGCGGTTCTTTCCATATAGTACAGATGCACCTAAAAGAGTTGTTTTCCAGCATACATTTCTGACTGCAGGTATTTAAAAATTACAATCACTATTCAGAAGCCTCTTGAAACCTGTATGAGTTTAGAGTATTATACTGCATTAATGTATTTATATGACCTATTCCTTTTTATTAGTAATTTTTTATGACTCAATATTTGGTTGATGTTTAGAACTCTAATGTCCTCTAAGTGGAATAGCTGTAATGTTGTAATTTCTAAAAACTCTTTTACTTCTGGGCTTCACAGATGCAAATCAGGTTGTTGATTCAAGTTATGACTTTTCTGTGGTGGATTCCAATTCTTTGCCGTTTCTGTTTAAATATGCACCTGAAGTGGCAAAGGAGTTGCACATTGGTCCAGAGTTTTCTTTTGACACTGCTAACATGTCTAGCCAACAGACTTTTATGGTAAGTAATATTTAGTTAATAAAAATTTACTAACCCATAATAATATATGGATTAGGAAGAGAAACTTTGGTCTCCCTTTTAAAACTTGGATGCATATGCTTGCAATGGTTGGTTCCTTATGTGCACCTGCTTTACACAATTGCCTCCACTCTCTCTTTTCCCTGCCCTTGGTGTGATATCATTTTCTTTCTCCTTACTAACTTCTTTGGAGGGAAATTCCCTTTCTTTGAGGCACATATATATCCTTTTGTTTTCCAGCCTCAAACAATGCATTGCAACAAGTTCTTTGATAATTTATCAAGAGGCTCATTAGGGCTTCGTGAACTGAAGGTCTGTTTATACTGGTTGTACTCTATGCCTGAAAATTTCCCTAGGGTATTGAACCTGTCACATTGGATGGAGAAATAATACCTTTTATTCTCATGGCCGTCATTTCTTCTTTATTTGGTTTTCAAATCAGTATTATTTGTTTCCTTTGTATTAGTTTTCTGTGGCCTTTCACATTTTTACTCTTTGGAATTTATTTAATGGAAGAGAACTTTTAAATATCCTTATCAGCAAATTTGGCTAATGGGAATTTATTTCCTTGCAGGCACTTTTTCCAGTTTCCTTTTTGTTTTCAAGAAGTTTGAAGTTCCCTGCAAGAAGTGATGAGATTTTGAAGCGATATAGACATTTTCCTCACTTGTATACTTATAAGCCACAAATGATGTCGAGCGATGGATCTCGGAGAGTTTATTTGGAACTTTCCTTGGGGTGAGTGGAGGCTTTTGAAGACTGTTCTTGGTCTGCATATACAAGCACTAGAAATTTGATGATGCAGATTCTTAAGTTTTATAGACTTATATATATATATATATTTATATTCATTTGCATCCTTGCAGCTCCTTAGAGGAGGTTTGGGTTGCTGTCCTTAACATTACTGGCCCTTTATCTAGTTGGTCATTTGCTGACAATAAGCTACCAGGTACATAAAAATGCATAAAAATGTTCTGCTCGATTTCAGTTCTCCATTGAAGCTTATCCTCTGGTTGTCATGATTCATTGAAATGATAATTTTTTCAGTCCCGGAAACCGCTGAAGGTGGTCCACCATCATACATTTGTAGACTTACTGGAGCCAGTCATGAAAACTGGACCTTCTGGTTGGAGGTACAGTTCTATTTCAGTTCTACATTGAAGCTTATCCTCCCCACTTCCATAGAACCTTTGTTTTCGCTGTATGCATATGATCCATGCCTAACTTCTCGCATGGGCACTGCAGGCTAGCAATTCTGGAGATATAAGGGTGGATGTAGCGGTGCTAGACCAAGTATTGGTAGATGAAGCAAAGAAGTTGAAGGGAATTTTCCCAGTCTGGGCAGATGTGACTGCTGGTTCTAGTTTTTTGTCCAGCTATATCTTTTAATGTTTATTCTGGAAGTCTTTCTTCCACTAGATAAGCTCATAACAATAACTTAACTCATTATATTAACCTCATGATACCATTGCCAGAACTGTTCCCCTGCTGAAATTATACAACAAATAAAATTCGGGTTTGTTCCAGTTTATGGAGAGAGATTCTCTTTCATTCCTTCTCATTCCTCCATTTCAAAAGCTCAATTTTTTTTTTTTATAAAACAATTAAATACTATATTAAAAGCGAATTATATGAAGTTTCATAATTGTTGACACCTTTAAACATTTTATAGAAAAGGGCAATTTAAACACATTTTTATGGCCATTGGATAATAAAAGCATGATGAAAACTAACTTTTAAAGCTTTTGTATTTATTGTATTGTTATTTTACAATATTATTATTGTATCTGAACATTTGATCATTGATTGATGTACGATCTCTTACTTAGAGAACAGGGTTTTAAGCAGGTTTGAATCCCTTTCTCTTAAGTAAAAAAATATTTATAATATTATTCTTTAATCAGAAAATATCACTTCATAAATATGAAAAGATTAAAATTTTAAAAAAATTATACAAATATTTTTAAAATTTAGAGTGTTTAGTTTTTACATTTTAAAATTTATTTATTAATGAGATAATAACAACTAATTTACTAACAGTATAATTTTATACAGGGACAATGTATCAAATATAAATTCAAGTTAATAATTTATTTTATGGTATTAAGTAAAGATAATAACAATCAAAAAAGTATAAAGCCCATCTTAAGAGTGGTATTTTTTGGAGTGAAATTTTGTTAAAATTATTTCTTCAGTTAGGTTTTAAGTTACAGAAATAAGAGTCCGTAAATTACTATTGTTTTTATTCGGTACTCCGTTAACGGAGGATCGAGACCAACTCCTTTCAAACAATTGAAAAGCTATTGGGCCTCGTACAGGCCTGGCCCAATGTCAAACGTATCCGCCACCAACCGGATCTGTAGATCGTTTTCTTCAATTTCTTCCCCAATTTATAAAACTCTAGTATAAAGTTGATTTTGTTTGAGTTGAACTGTTACAAGTCTTCAAGAATCAAGAGATATCCCACAATCCTACCAAGTGTAAGGGTCATTTGTTTCCGTCTCCAGCTCTTTTTCACTTCTGTTTATGAATTCCAATCTGTTTTTGTTGGAAACTGATGGGATTTTATGTTGATTCTGTAGATTCCAAGGCAAGGGCCAAGGGCTACCAATCCCAGGGTTCGTTTCAAAGGTATTACATCATAGCTTGATTGCAGTGTGATTTAGTTTTATTAGGTGAAACCCTGTATATCTTTTCTATTTGTTTGGGTGACTGAAGGGTCAGTACGTAATGCAGCAGTTAGTCCTCTGAGAAAATTAGTTTTTAAATTAATTAGAACAGATTTAAGACTAGTTTTCTTTTCTGGGTGTCATGATGTTTCGTTGTGACAGAAATGGGGTTCATAATGGAGTTTGCCGAGAATTTGGTTTTGAGGTTGATGGAGGACCCCAAGGAGAGGGACAAAAAATTTAGGGAGCACGTATATTCAGTCAAGGAACGATGCAACAAAACCAAGGAGATGTGGAGTTACCCCCTGCGACCTTACGGATTTTGGACTTTTGAGCGCCACAATGCCCAACTCCGCTGGGATGCTCAGATTAGCCAGGTGCCCGGTCGCAGGGACCCCTATGATGACCTTCTTGAAAACAGCTTTGATACCTCCTCCAAATGAATGTGAGCTCTTGATTTTATCTTATACTGATTCTATATAGGTGGATGTTTCTTTCATACATAGTTCGGTATAGTTCTAAATTAAATATTTAGAGATGTTATAGTTCCTTTGTTATGATATTGTTATTCAAACACTGTGGTTTTTGTTGTGGCTGAATTTTAACATTGAAGTTTAGGGAGAAATCAAGATAACTTAAGACCTTTATTCTAGTAGTTCATGATAGAATTAGCAAAGTTTTCTTTATTTGACAAGGTACGAATTATTTTAGGGGGACTTTCTCTTAACTGATAAGTCATGCGGATACTCTGTTTGGATGCAAAATCTCATGCGAATTGAGAATTTACTGTCTTTCTTTCTCAACAACTACTCATTCATTGATGGTTCCATTCAGATCAACAAATGTTATACATTGGTTTTCTTTTCAAAGTGCTCTCTGCCTATATTGGGAATTTGTTATTGTGGTATTGATGTTTGATGTGGTCTCATCAGTGCCCTGATATTTCCCTTTCGACTTATTCATGCACTGCTTATGATCCCCAGAATTTTGAATTTTTTAAATGTGAGAAACATCATTTAATTACTTTGTTTCAATAGCTATCATTTGCACTTTTCTGAGATGAGATGTAAGAACTTGCATCAAACTTTAGCATGAATCTGCTGGAGAATATCTCAAAAATGATAATTTTGTTTTTCTTGGCGCTAGATGAGCATGAGTGCTTACACTTCAAGATTGTGTTGTGCATTAGAATGTTTTGCTGTCGCACTTCTTTTACATATAGTAGTCAATGTGTTCACAAACGAGATATGCAAACTGGTAGTTTGTGGAAAGAATTCCTTGTTTTTATCTTTTTCAACTTGTGATTCAATGACAATGCTGGAAGTTTTGATTTATAAAATAATCACTAGGTCATTGAAGACACTAACTGGATGACAAGGAAATTTACATTATTAAGGGTAAATTTCATCTAAGTTTTCAAGGCTTTGTTGTAATTCAGTTCAAGTTCATTAGATTTGAAAATGGACATTCTGCTCCAAATAATGAACGACATTAACAAATATGGTTCAGTTTGTAAACTACCCATGATCCTAAACACCAAAATCCTTCTCTGAAGCCAGATTGCATGATCCTTCTTCTTCATCATCATCCATTAGCCCAAACCCTAGTGTATGATTGCATTTGTGTTGAGTGTTTTCTTGTTTCCAGATATCTTTGATCATTGTAAATGGTATCTTTGATTGCTTTGTCTCAGAAATTAATCACGTTTTGTGGTGAAGAAAGTGGAAATTTCATATATTCATCCCTAAAAACCCCTGATAAAGAGATAAAAATAGAAATACAATTATCCCTAAAAACTAGTATATAACAACATATCAAATTCAAATATTATCAAAGAGGATTTATGTTATCTTATCACTAAATAAGAGTAAGTAAAATATAAAATGTATACCTTAAATCTCACCCTAAAATCACTTTTTCACCTCTTATTTTCTTCAATTCCAGCTAAATAGAACACAAGCGAGCAGACCTAAGCAACTTTTAAAAGAACTTGAAGGACAAAAAAAAAAAACCTTTCTTGAGAAATTTGATTGGCGAATCTCATCTTTTAGAGGCAATTTGGAATTTTTTTTCCTGAAAGAAGTGATTGTTTTTCTGCCAAAACCTTCAAAATTGGTATTTTTTTCTCAACAATTGAAGGTTATTAAGGGCATCATGTGATAGTCATGTGATACTCATGTGTTTCACTATCAGCAAGTGTGACAGGTGTCTTCGCGGCAGGAGTTATTAAACCTGCCAAGTTGATTTTTTTGGGGTAGAATGTCCATTGTTAAATCTAATGAACTTGGGTTGAATTATGGTAGAACTATGAGAACTTGGATGGGATTTACTCTATTATTAATTCCAATCTTTAAGCATTCGCTAATGATGTTCCTTTGATGCAGGCTAGCAGATGATTTAGAGCTTGGTCTGCTGTGGTTGGGCACTTAAGCTTTTCACTGTGCTTTTGGATTTCTTATTATTTTGTGCTACAAAAATATCAATATCTAAACTTTTAAGACCAGCTTATGAGTGAAAACAATTGTCTATGTTGCTCAACTATATGGAATAACATGCACGTTTTGGTGAATAATTGCCCATGTAATCAGTTTCTCTGATTCATGTAGTTTGAAGATAAGCATGCTTCAATACATTGTGCTCATTAGCTGATGAGATATTTCTCAATTATCATTAATAGCTTCCATTATCTGTTTAAATATTATTCTCCTCCAAAACCAGCTTTTCTGGATGGAGAATGGGCAGCCTAGCAAGCAGCTTGTTAGGGTTAACGGTTCTCAGAAATGTAATTTCTCTGTATTATGTGTGTTTTCATTTGCCCAACACGTGTTATTGAGCTATATATGTGTTGAAAGGCCAGTGGCAATGTATCCTTTTTATGTTTTGGTAAATTACAGAAAATATATCGCATAGTTTGAACTAGAATAAATTTGTCTCTAAAATTTAAAATTCGACGCTTGACTATTATATGCTTATTTCCGTTATGCTTTTTTTTTTTTAACTTTACTTTCAAGAATTTTTTAATTCTTTTATTTTTAATTATCATTATTTTTACTAATTTAATGAAATAAAATTTATTGTAGTCACTTTATTGTTAACGATGTTAAGAAAATTTCGTAATTATTATTACTATTAGCTTAAAATTAGCATGTGGATTAATTTTGCTGAATGATTTTTTTGGATGAGTCAAAATTCTATTTTGGGATAAATGGGGGTTTGGCCTTTGGGTTGAATAAGTTAATGTTTTTGTTGTGTAAATATCCCTTGCTTGTGTGATATGGATTATGCTCAAAATTAAATGCAAAATACAAGTAAAGATTATGTGCAAGTGTACATAATTATAACAAGTGATATAGTAATGCGTTGAAGTTGTTGATTCTTCGAGGAGTTGGTTTGTTATTTGTTATTAATTACTAAAATTGTAATTAAGCTTTATCCAAGTAACGAAAAGAACAAGCCAAGCAACAAAAGGAACAAGTTGTTGAAATGAAATGAAAGTTACTCTAAAAGTCTAAATTAACTTAAGAGTGGCGAGTTAAAGGTGTAGGGAGGAAACAAAGTAATTAAATCTTAAGACTATGGTTCCAATTAACTATCTGCTTTTATGAGAATCAATGTTAGTCTAGGTTCCTTGAGCATGCATAATACTCCATCAAGTCATCACATAATTGCCTAGCTTCATTAACTATCTATATGTTTATAAAAAATTAACTAAAGCTAAGTTCACTTAGTTTAGGACCTATATTAACTATGTATGATTAATAGGTATACGTCTATCCTATTAATTAATCACTCACTTAATTTCTTAACATGGAATGAATATACACTACTCAAATTTAAGTCTTTTTAGATTATCTTTGTCAAG